TTAAACAGTGCCCCCACCCTCTACCCTGTTTTCCTCACTCAGAAAACATATGTGCCAGGCCATTTCTAGGCCCTGGGGACACAAAGGGGAAGTTGCTGATAGCTGCCTTCAAAGACACCCCAGGCTAGTGCAAGGGCTGGGAGAGGGATGACAACACAGGAAGCCAAATGGAGAGCCCCTGTGGAGTGCTGTGGTCCAAGCCACTAAGTCCTCCAGTGGCCTGCGATTGTGGTGGCTGGACCAGCAGGCTTCATGGAGTAGCTAAGCAGGTGCCAACACCCTCCTGGAGGGAGTGTTCACTGGGGTCATTGGAGTTGAGGCAGAACTGGGGGCTTGGTTGCCAGGGGAATGGGGATGGGCAGAAGAGGTGTTCAGAACCGGAAGGTGGAGAGGACTAAAGAACGCCTGTGCAAGTTTACCCAAAACCTTTGCAGCAGCTGGGGGCCTCCTGCCCCAGGCCCCAGTGCTGGGACTGAGAGAGCAGAGCACATGCAGAAGCCTGCACTCACCGCACCCCCAGGCTGGTGTGGGCTCAGGGAGCCCTGACCAGCAGCTGAGCTGTACCCCCTGTCCCTGAATCTCAGAGGGGAGTGGGAGACAGAAAAGAGCAAACAGGAGATGGAAAAGAAAGGGCGGCATGCACATCCCCCAGTCCCTTTGTTTTGTTTTCCATGCGATGTGGGACACTTTCCAGATTCCAAGCTCCCTGGAACCCTAAGAATGGGAGCTGTGAAGTTGTTCTCTCTCCAAGGGGGCCGAGTCTGAGGAGTTCAGTCACTTGAGGACAGAAGTCTCAGCCCTGCTGTAGAAACTGACAGGTGATGTCCTAGGAGCCTGCTTTGGTGTCCTGTGGGTCACTGGGAGGAGTTTATTAGATTCCTAAAGACTGTAAGTGAGCGTTCCCGCTTTGTGGAATTTCAGCTGATGAATGACAATGCTGGGCAGGTGATTTGTCCTTCAGACTTTCATTCATGCCACACTGCACACTGGACTCTCTGCAGGTGCTAGGGAAATAGAAACGATCAGTTACAGACCCTACTTTGGGGCCTAGTGGGGAAGACCAGCAGGTAAATAGGCAGGTCCAATACACAATGAAAAGTGGCATGTTAGAGAGTCAGGACCGGGGTGGCAGAGGGGATTCAGATGGGGGCCGCCTACCCAGCCTGGGATTAGGGATGGCCTCCATTCATTTCTTATGGCTCCTGTGACAAATTACCAGTAACCTAGCAGCTTAAAACAGTATGCATTTATTCTCTTACAATTCTGGAGGCCAGAAGTCCAAAATCAGTTTCACTGGCCAAAGTCAAGGTGTCAGTTGGCCTGGTTCTTTCTGGAGGCTCCAGGGGAGAATCCGCTTCCTTGCTGTTTTCAGGTTCTGGAGGCTGCCTGCATTCCTTGGCTTATGGCCCCTTCCTCCACCTTCAAAACCATCACTCCAAATAATCATCACCAGACCTTTTCCTGAGTAGTCAAATGTCTCTCTGCCTCCCTCTTTAAGGACACCTGTGATGACATTTAGGGCCCACCCAGGTAATCCAGGATAATCTCCCCATCTCAAGATCCTTAGCCATATCTGCAAAATCCCTTTTGTCATAGAAGATGGCTTTCCTGGGTTCCAGGGATTAGGACATGGACATCTTAGGGAGTGGGCATTGTTCAGCCTACCACAGCTTCCTAGAACAGATGGCTCTGCGGTGGCAGGCAAGAGGCATGGAACAGCCTGGTATGGCTGGTGACGAGCAGAAGAGCAGAAGAGGCTGGCGGAGGCCAGATCTTGAAGGGTCTTGAAGCTTGGCTTAGCTCTGAAGGAGACGGGTCTCCCCTAAAACCTAAACATTGAGTGAAGGATGCTGTCTCAGCCAGGGCCCCAGTAGGACACAGATGACACATTCAGATGGCAAATGAAGTTTGTTAATAAAGTGGCTATTTGCAAAGGGGTAGACGGGGTTAAGGAAAACCAATAGGAATGGGGCATACTTGGGACTAACACAGCCGTGAACTGTCACTGCCTCTTTGGGAAGCTGTGGGCACCCCTAGGCCTGAAAAGAGGAGGTCAAGGAGTGGTTATCAGAATGCAGAGAGGTCGATGGAGTGGACAAGACTGCCTGACATGAGTCTGCAGTAAAGGGACACAGCCAACCCATGGAGACCTGGCAGGGAAGGCGCTGGGGTGAAAAATGCCCCAAGTCTACTCTCCTACTGTCTCTGATGGCTGCCGGTGCTCCCCACTGGCCCAACCTCCTTGAAGACAGAGAGCAAGGCCGACTGTCCATGCCGGGCAGCCTAGTGGGCAGGGCAGGGAGGAGAAGGCGGGTAGGGGACAGAGATGACCAGACATGATGCAGGTGTCATGCCGGCAGCAGCACCACCAGACTGTTTTTGAGAAAGCTCACTCTGGCCCCAATGTGGACGGTGGATCTGGGTGGGAGAAGGGGTGGAGGCGGTGTGTGATCATACGGGACAAACATGAAGTGTTTTTCCTTTGCTCGTACTTAAGAGCAGTCAACAACATGGAAGACCGACTTCTGACTTCTGTGGCCAAATGTGTGGGGATTTCTCCCCACTGGCAAACAAGCCAGAAATTCTCCAGCAGACACTGGCCAGGTGTTCTCTAATTCAATTCAATTCTGACATGATCTACTTGGAGTTAGCGCCAGATTGCACAGGGTGAGGGCTCAGTCCCCAAGACAGCCCCCGCTTCAGATGCCAGTCGCAAGTGCAGGCCTCTGGAACTTCTGACCAACCAGCTATAAATTAGGATTCCCAAAACCCCCTGCTTGGGTTCAACTAGTTTGCTTGAGCAGCTTACAGAACTCAGAGAAGCACATAGTCACGTTTATGGGTTTATTATAAAGGGCATTACAAAGGATACAGACGAAGAGACGCACAGGGAGAGGTGTGGGGACAGTACAGAGCTTCCATGCCCTCCCTGGTGCACCATTCTCTGGGATCCTCCACATGTTCAGCCATCCAGAAGCTCTCCAAACTCAGGCCGCTTGGATTTTTATGGAAGCTTCATTACATAGACATGATTGATTAAATCATTGGCCACTGGTGATCAACTTAACCTTCAGCTCCTCTCCTCTCCCTGGAGGTTGGGGAGAGGTCTTTGGTCTTTTCTGTGACCAGCCTCCATCCTGAAGCTACCTAGAGGCTTCCAGCCATCATTAGCATACAAAAAGACTCTTACCACTTTGGAGATTCTAAGGATTTTAGAAGTTTTATGTCAGGGGACTTCCAGTCAACATGGAGGAATAGACAGTCCTCAGCGTCACTCTCTCCTACAAATCAACCAATTTACAACTATAAAAAAGCAATGACAGCCAAGCTGGGGCCACTAGAGCTCAGGGGAAGAGGAGGAGAGACCTATGGAGTGCATGAAGGTGGGAGAAGCCACGATGAGACAAAGAAAAAACCGCTCTGATGGTTTTGAATCCCAGCTGCTTCCAGGCTGGAGCTGCTGAGTGCATGGAGCAGGAGCTGGCAAAAGCCACAGCTCTGCCCTTGTATGAAGTTGCTTGGAGGCTGCAGGGGAGAAGAGGGCTGTGGAGGCCTCCAGTCCAACAAGACCACTACTAGGGTTCCTGTGGACACATATAGGAGCAAGGAGCCACAACAACTGAAAAACGGAGGCACTCAGAGGCCAGTGAGTCATCACAAGGGACCGGAGCACAGCCCACCCAATGGTAAGTGTTTGGAGCACAGGTGGTGGGGGAGATGGGCCCACCAGGAGAACACTGGAGCACAGCAAGGACAGTTGATCTGCTCCCCAATCAGCGAAGGACCTCATAGGAGACTGGTCAGGAATATAGAGTTACATAGGGTGCAGTTTGCTGAAAAGATTCAGGCCCAGACCAGAGTGTCTACACAACCCAGGTGCACCAGATTTCAGTAGACCTGGAAGTACCTATAAAGTCAGCCATTAAAACCTGAGCTGCACAGAAAGCCTTCCCCAAAGAATCAGCAGCAAAGCAGCAATTTAGCTCAACCACAGAGCTCAAGTCCTGGTCCCCACAGGAAGTCCCCTCATTTTAGAAGTAAGCAAAGCACAACAAATTAGTTCCAGCACAGAGTTTAAGTGCTGGGAACAGCAAATAATCCAACACAGAACTGGAAGAGAAAACAAAGTACCCACAACCAGAGACAAAGTTTGATATTAACTAGTAAAGGTCTCATCTCACCAAACAACACCTATAACACCTAGAAGGACCAGAAATCCCCTGGGCTACCAAGCCAGAAGCGGGGGAGGGCTGGGGGCCTCAGCCATGCCCCCCAACACCCGCAACCAGCCCACCACAGGAAGCGCCCCAGGCTCTCCCAAGCCAGGGAGGTGGGGGACCGAGGGCCTTGGCTGTGCCTCCCTGACATGTGCAACCAGCCCAGCGATGACCACCAAGCCGCAGCAAGAAGGTCCCCGGGTTTCTGAGTGGGGGTGGTGGGGGGCGAGGGCTTTTGCCATACCTCCTGACATCTGCACCCAGTGCCCAGCAATGACCAAGCCACCACTGGAAGCACCCTGGTCTCCCTTGTGGGAATGATGGGGTGCCACAGGCCTCAATCCCACCCCTTCCTCCTTCCTTTTTCCATCCCATTTCCTTCCCCTTTCTCCTTCCCCCTTCCTCCCAACTGCTCTGCAACAACATTATAGAATGTAAAAAATAAATAAATCAACTAATTAATAATAATAATAATAATAATAAAGAAGTTGTATGTCAGGAGACGGGGATGAAGGCCAAATATATATTTTCACAATATCATAGGTGGTAGGCCAGAACATTCCAAATGATCAAAAAAGCACCTTTAAAAAAGGAATTGCCCTAATTAGAGGTCTGGTTATCCTAAGGGGTGTCTGGGATCATTTTGGAATTAGCTGTGTCTGACATGGCAAAATCTATCCCCATGCTGCCATCATATCTCACACTCAATGCCCTCTTTCAAAGACACTGAACCTCTGGGGAGATCCAGGCAGGACTGGTTGCAAATGACAGAAACCACATGTAGCCTGTTTAAGCAGAAATACAATTTATTACAGAATATTGGGGGCTCCCAGTATCTCATGAGCAGCTGAGAACCAGGCTCAGAAACTCTACAGTGGGAACATGGCCCAAACGTGCCACTGCAAAGCACCTCCAGGGAGAGACGCTGTTGCCATCGCCGAGTGGAGCCACTACAAATCGGCTTCGGATGCCACCCTGGAACCTCGGCCACTGGACCTTGCTGCCTTTCTACCAGGACAGATCACATGAGAACCTGCTTCATCTTAGAGTGCTGGCTCAATCAAAGTCTGGTGTTGGTGCATCTACCTGGGGAGGCTGCTGACATTTCTGCACCCTCATTTCTGAGAAGCAGAGTTTCTGGCTCCTCTGGAGAGTCAGGGACTCAGTAGGAGGGAATTCCCCAAAGAGCAGAATATGTTCCAAAGTGCTGCACAAGCAGAAAGAAGGGCAAATATTCACTAGACAATTTAGGTAAATGTATTAGTCTGTTTCTGTTTCTTATAACAAAATACCTGGAACTGAGTAATTTATGAAGAAAACAAAATTTACTGCTTACAGTTTCTGAGGCTGGGAAGTCCAAAGTCCGGGGGACACCACTGGTGAGAGCCTTGGTTGTGACAACAGTGAAGGCAAAGTGTCACACTGCAAAAATGGTAGAGCAGAGAGAGGGACAGACTCTTTGTGTTCCTCGTTTAAAGCCCTGAGAACCACGCCCCATGACCACCACTTTTAATCCATTCACTGCAGCATGGTCCTACGATCTAATCACCTCTTCGAGGCCCCACCTTTCACTTACCATAAGAGTAAATAAAGGTAAATCACTTTAAAGTTCAGGCCGTCACGCCATCATCTGAAAGGAGAGGTGACATGAATGTGAGTGGCTTCTGTCGTTAGGAAGAAGAATATGGCAAGGGCCTTCCGTACTCAAACCCTCATCAGGCTCCTCCCTGTGAAGGGCACAAACATCCTGGCCCTGGCCCATGGAGCACTGTGACTGTGTGTGTCGGTTAAGACTCTGTCTGACTCAGCTTCCCGTGGCCGTGTGGGCCACCGGGCAGGGTGCAGTGATGGGAGCACAGATTCAGTTCTTCACTGGGTACTGTTCACTTGCCTTCTCTCCCTTAGAAATGTGTTGAGGGCCTGCTCTGCTCTAGACTCTGGCAAGAGCATGAACACGATCCTATTTCACTACCAAGTTCACTGAGACCCACCCTGGGAATCCACAAGAATGACAGCTCTCTACCTTCTGAATCAGTCAATTCCCAGGAGGCCAGAGGAGGACATACCCCAGAGGCCAAGGGCAGGGCTTCCTCTCCTGATTCTTTCGTGTTTGTAACAAGTGAGACAGTTATCTTTACTAAAGGATCTCAATACCAAGACTTGCCTGGAAATTTCTTTAGTTACATCATCCAACTTGTTAGGCACAGTTTCCGCTTTCCCTGTTGCTGCAGTGTTGTTAAATTCCTGCCTTTCCATAAAAAGAACGCCCTTTCTTCCAGTCTTCAATATCTTGTCCTCACCTTCCTTTAAACCCTCACCAGCCTCCCCCTTCTGCTACTGGACTCTGATGCCCTTTAGACTTTCTTCAGAGTCCTTCCAGGTTCTGCCACCTGCCCAGTTCAAAAGCCACTCCCATAATTTAAGGTTTATGTTCCAGCAGCACCCCACTTCTGGTATCACACTTAATTTTTGTTATCTAGTGCCACATAACAAATTACTCCAGAATTTAGTGGCTTAAAACAGCCACAAATACTTATCTTTCCCAAGTACTGTAAATCAGGAATTCAGAAACAGCTTAATTGGGTTCCCTGGCTCCAGGTCTTTCATGAAGTTGCAGTCAAGGTATGAGCTGGGGCAGTGGTCATCTGAAGGCCGGATTGGGACTGGAGGAGCCACTTGCAAGGTGTTAGCTGTAGCAAAGGCCTCGTTTCCTCTCCACATGGACCTCCCCATGGGGCTGCTTGAGCAACCTCACAACATGGCGGCTGGCTTCTCTTAGTGCAAGTGACCCTAGAGAAAAAGTGGAGGTCATAATACCCTTATGCCTTAGCCTTGGATGTCACACACAATCACTTCTGCAGTATTCTAGTGGTCACACTGACCAGCTCTGACTCAGCATGAGAGGAGACTACATAAGAATATGAATGTAGAATATGAGGTTCATTGAGGGCTTGTGGGCCATCTGAGAGCTGGTTACCACTGATAGTTAAAGAGGAAAAAATGTGTTAAAACTAGTTAAAGGAAAAGAATTATATTTGTAATAAGAAATATATATATATATATAATATTGTATTAATAAATTTATATATTTATTATAACATGTATTTCTTATTTTAAAAGTAATTCATGTTATTTGTAAAAATTTAGGAAAAATTCAGATTAGCAAAAGAAGACAGTAAAAACTATCCCATAATAGCTCCACCCAGAGAAAAACCATCACCCTCATTTTGGGGTATATCTTATCAGCCTGAACTTTTAAAATTTTTACAAGAATTGGATAATAATGGACAAAACCTTTTATTCCCTCTATTTTTCACTTAATAGTATAGTCACAAAGTACACTTCTATCACATCTTTGGTAATGGTAACATTTTATTCCTGCAAGTGACTAAGATATAATTTATTTAACCGATGCCCTATTATTGGATATTTAAGTGTTCTGAGATTTTTACTTTATTAACAAAACTGGAATGAGTATCTTCATAGCTAAATCATTGTCTATATCCATGACGATTCCTTAGGGTTGAAATAGAATAGCGGCATCCACATGTATGCACATTTTAAAGTGCATTTGGTATCTATTATCAACTGTCCTTAAGAGAGATTGTCCCTTTTTACATGTTCACCAGCTGTGACTGAGGAGTCTTCTTGTCTCCTTTGACAACCCTGGTTGCTTCCATTGAAACTTGTGTTTGTATGAGCAACAGACTGTGAGATAATATTTGTATGTAGCAAATGTAACTGACAAATATTAGAGCATCTGCAATTCAAGAAGATAAACATCCCACTGGGAAAAGTGGAGTGAAGGTATGAACATAAAGTCCACTGAAGAAAGAATACGAATGGATCATTAACATTCAGAACAACGCTTGTGTCCTCTGGTAGTTGGGGAAGTGCCGCTAAAACCACAATGAAATATTGTGGTATTGCCCATCAAATTTGCAGAGCATAAAACAAATAGATTACATTCCCAATCTGCATGCAAACCTCAGCCTTCAGTCTCATTGAATTTCTTGCCATTCCCCAAACCACATTGGTTCACCTCATCACAGACTGTTCCTTCTTCCTGCACACACTTGATGACAGCAAGGGGGATGGGCACACTAACACACAACTGCTGAGAATGGAAATTTTTCTACCTCTTGGGAACAAAATGTAGCAATATTTGTGGAACTGTAACCTGTGCATACTCTACCGCTGGGTCACTACCAGCAGAACTCCTCCCACCTCTGCACAAGGATCCCCATTGCAGCATCATTTGCACTAATGGAAACCTGGATACAGCCTAAGCATGCATCAAAAAGGGAGTGGTTATAAAAACACTATGGCACCTCTCTAGCACAGCCTGTGATGCAGTGGTTAAAACAAAGCATTACAGAAGAGTGATTAAGAATTTGTGCTCCAAAGCCAGGTAGTCTAGGTTTAAATTCCAACTTTGGCACTGGCTGTGTGATTATGGGCAAGTAAATTAACCTCTCTGAGACATCTGTAAAATGAAGGACAATAATAATCCCTACCACACAGGGTCATTGTGAAGATGAAATTAATATTATATATAGTATAGAAAGATCCTCTTCAGAATTTATTAAATGAAAAAAAGCAATTTCCAGAAATTATCTATCTACGTACATACAGTGAAATTCTTCATTTGTGAAGAATTTTCCTAACAAACCCAAATCATTTACAGAGGAAGGGGGTGGGGTGGGGGGTGAAGAGAGAGAGAGAGAGAGAGAGAGAGAGAGAGAGAGAGAGAGAGAGAAAGAAAGAAAGAATAAGTAGTTTCGGGAAGATCCACAGCAGATATGTAAGCCTTGTAACTACAGAGGAGGCAGGTGGAATGGGGACATTAGAGGATTAGAGGGGGATGTTCACATTTAATTCTGAATGGCTTGACTATTTCATTAGTGCAATTTAAGAAATAAAAACAACAAACCAGTGTAAAAGAAAAACCTGTCAGTTTGTGAGTCTTACCATTCTACCCTGGGCACACCTTTTCCTTTCATTTAATCTTGGATGTCCCCAAGATCATGTAGTTTAAAAGGTGAAGAAATTGTCCTTGAACCCATCAGTTGAGCACTCATTTGGGGACTGCTCCTTCACTTTGTCCCTAAGCATCCCTGGGTTAGGGGTCTCCTTGCAGGCTCTCCCAAGCTGCTTCCTCCTGCCCACTCAGAGTGCCCTCTGGTGGTGGTAACTCACAGTGCTGTGAGCCAGTAGCACAGGGTGAGGGGGTGGGGGGGGTAGGGGGGGTGGAGGTAGGGAGCAAAAAGCTTCCTCACAAGGATTTAGCCTGGAATTTGACTCTGGGTTTGACTCTGGGTCTGTTGCTGGTGGTGGCAACAGATATCTCTCCCATGTTTGGGAGGAAACCTTTCACCTTACTGTTTTTAAGTTGTCCCTGTCTAGAGTTGCCCGATCTAGCAACTAGAAACACAGGACACCAGTTTAAATTTGCATTTTAGATAAATCACAAATAATTTTTAGTATAAGTATGTTGCATGGAATATATTGCATGGGACATATTTATACAAACAAAAATTATTTGTGGTTTCTCTGAAGTTCAAATTCAACTGGACGTACTGTGTTTTTATCTCCCGACTGTAGGAAGCAATCCTGTTGGCATGGTGGGGTGGGGGCAGGTAGTGAGAAAGAAAGGGAGAAGGCGGCCTGGGGAAAAGCACGTGATGGAAGGGGCGATGGCTCAGTGGGAGACTGTGAATGGCATCTGCTTGCCCGGTAGCTGCAGCTGTCAGGGTTTCCTGCCCTAGGATAGAGCTGCTCCACCCTGGGGTGCTTTGAAAACCTGATGTCTGAATCTCCTCTGGAGTGATTCTGATGTCATTGGTTTGGTGGGGTGGGGGTGAGGGTTGGCTCAAGGCATTTAAAAAAGCCCCCAGGCAATCCAAATGTGCAGCCAGAGTTGAGAGCCACTGCTCTAAGAGATCTGGGTCTGCGGAGAGGCGTGTGTGTGTGTGTGTGTGTGTGTGTGTGTGTGTGTGTGTGTGTGTGTGTGTGTGTGTGTGTGTGTCTCAGATGCCTA